GGAGCTCTCCGCTTGTGAACTGGCAGATCTAGTAGCTTCTTCAAGTCTTTGCTGGGGAAGAAGGACTTGCAAAAGCCCTTTGGTGGTTATGGAAGAACTGCAAAAAGAAAAGCACAGACGTTAGAACAAAGTATTGAAAACTTGGAAAAAAAAACAAGGAAAGGTGACACTTGGCTCTTACCATCTCCTTCCCTGAAAACTGTTTGGCTTAGGGGATAAAGGTGGAGGTCATCGTTTGGTTGAAATTCCCAGTTGCCCGAGACGATGAAGTAATCGTCTCCAACACCCTTGTTTGAGTCTGGGAGGTCGGCAATAAGCTTGTACTCCATGGACCTCGGCTTGAGGTAATAGATGTGGCTTTTTTTCGATTTTAGGCGACACATGGTGTAGCAATACTAGATGTCAGCAAGGGTAACCCTAGTATTTTGTTTCTCGGCTAAAGCGATTATACCATTGATAACTCGATAAGAGTTGATGACAAGTTGCATTGGGTTCAATTTGTAGTAGTGGAGGACTTCTCAGAAAAGGGTGTCAAGTGGAAACCTAAGTCCACACTCGATAAAGGCCACTACGGGAAAAGACATAAGGTTCACGTCGGGCATACTGGAATCTTCCTCCCCTACCAACCTAAGGTTGACATCAAGACATCGGCAGGAATAGAAAACTCCTGCCTAAAGTACTCTAACTTAGTTGGGGTGTCTACCCTATGCTTCCACATACCCATAACGTCGGCTTAATTGGAGGAGTTGGATTTCAGAAGGAAGTGTTTTGGAAGGGTTTGAGGGACCTCGGTTAAAACCTAAAAATGTACTATGGCAAGAGTTTGTATGGATCTAAAGGGAATTCGTGTCAGTTTTTCCTAAGGTTCGTAAAGTTCTATAGACAAATCCCGATCCTAAAGTCTAGGTAAGTGAAGATTGAAGGCAAAAATCTGGAAAAAAACACGGCAAACAGAAACAGGAACGTGATTTAGTATCGAGAACAGTGACGAAGTTGCCAAGAACACTGACAAAGTTTGTGCAGGTGTGTGAGGCCAAGAACAGTGGCAAAGATCAACAGATATGTAAATAGTGTGTGAGTAATCAAGAGTGGATTGGGCCAAAAATAAAATCACGATATAGATATGCCCAAATGCATGATTGAGTTCACATACACAAATTTGTAAAAAATATATATGAAGCCACAGTAACAGAGCACGAATGTAACAGAATTCAAAGAGAACCAAGAACTGGGAACCAGGATGAAAACAGTAGCTTACCAGAGGAGTGAAGCTGGTGTTGAAGACGCCGGAGTCAGGAGGCGGTTATAATAGAGGACAGCGAAAGCTTCACCAAATGAGAGGAATAAAAATGGTTATAAAGCTTGAAGATCTGGAACAATAGCAGAATTGGAGAGAGAAGTTAGAGAGAGAAAGAGTTGGAAGCTTAAGAACGAGGATGCAAAAGTGAAGAGACGAAGAAAGAAAATTGATTTTAATCAAACGTGGAAAACGGCGGCAAAATACCATCAATGCGTCTAGGGCGACGTGCTTGTCAGACAGCGCACCCAAACACAAGGTGACTTACAGGCGCGTATCAGGAACAGCCCAGAAGGAGAAAAACATGTGACAAGAACGGTTGAGTTGTTATGCGTGACAGCTCATACGCGTAAAGAAGCTCTTGGAGTTCTTGATTTAATGGAGCAGTACCTCGGCTTGGAGGATGATCTCGGCTGAGTAACTTGAATAAACTTGGTTAATGGTTCTGAGACATTGGTGAAAGCAGGCTATAGGTCTTGGACACATTGAGTCGACAAGTTATGACTTCGGCAATAAATGTTGAAACGAGCTTAACCGACGTGAAGATGGAAGAAATGATATAGGTTCCATCACCTCAGTATGCCGAGGTAATAGAACCTAGGGGGCAGTTGTGGGGACATATTTTTTGAGTACCAACACGTGGCCAAAGTGACGCCGAAGTGTCAACCGAGGTGCCACGTGTCCTGGTCATGATGCCGAGGTGATCTCGGCTAGTCCGACATTATCTCCGAAGATATCAGAATCCAGGATATGCGGATAAGGGACAAGAATCCTAGAATGGGAGAGGACTTTAGTTTGGATAAACATAAGACTCTTAGAGAGTTTATCCCAATCCTGTTGGGAGTCCAAGATTAACAGTAATCCTAAGTCCACTAGAGCTAGGTTTCTATTGGGACTAGGATTGTGTTGGCTATAAAAGAGAGGCATCCCCATGGGTATAAGGTATGTTTTTTATGCTCTAAATAGTGAATTGAGCACTTTTTTTTTTATCTTTGAGAGATAACTGACTTGATCATCGGAGTGTCTCCGGGTGGATGAACCACCACCGGAATTTTTTCTTTCTATTGCAGGTCATTCAGGTGCCATTTATTCCGCTAGTGCTCTTTAGTTGAATACAAAATTGACAATATGATCAAAAATTCACTCACACAATAACATTATTATTTTTGAAATTATATATAGCCTCCGTTTGGGAAGTGGGTTGGTTTTTTGATTTTTTGGCTTTTTGGCTATTTTAGCCCGGGCTATTTTAGCCTGGTTTGGGAAGGGCTTTTTGGCTTTTTTGGCTTTTTTTGTGAGAGAGGATTGTAATGATTATGGGTTGGATTTGATGTTTTGTTTTTTATGACTAAAATAGCCTATTTTATTTTTTGTGACTATTTTAGCCAAAAAAGCCTGATTTTTTTCTTCCCAAACGGAGCCATAGTGTGTGCTATGAAAAAGGCTGTCAGAGCATGGCGGTGTGTTAAGTAGGTTGTGCAAACCTCTGGAGGTGATAAACTTTGGCATTTTTTCCCTTTGGTTTAGATCAAAATTTTTAAAAAAAAAAAAAAAAAAAAAAAAAAAAGGTCGAATTAATAACAAATTGAGAACAGATAGGAGAGATAAAAAAAACATGGCCCTTCCCCTTTTTATTCTAGGTAATAGAAAAGTAGAAAAAGCCAAAAGAAAGGTCAAATTAGTAACAAATGGATCAACAAAGCAGTTCCACTACTCAAGGCATACCACTACTCAAGGCACATCTTTAATAAGTTGATAAATAAGCAATTTGCTCAATACACACCACAACTTTCCATCTTTACCCTTACTCATACACCCCACCCACAATCTTTCATTTTTACTCTCATTCACTTACTCACACACTCCACCCCCACCCACGATCCATCTCCCCCTCCTTTCTCTGATTGATGGTCACCCCCACATACCAGTGAGCAAAACCAGTGATGAAGACTACTCAAGACACCGATGAACAGAACCAGTGGTGAAAACTCCTCAAGATGTCGGTAAAAATTTCAGTTTGCAAACCGTTCGACTCTGGACTTTCAAACCTTAACGATTTGTTCGGACTATTTTTGTCGAACCTTAGCCACTTGTCCGGAGTGTTTCTTTCGAACATTAACCATTTGTTCGACATTTTAGTGTCAAACTCGATTATAACCCTTTGTCCTTTGTAGTCATTTTACATAAGGTTAATATTGTAATAAAAAATAAATCAATTAATGGTTTGCCTTGAGATGAAATATGGTGTGCAAATAGAGGCACCCAAAAAAGTGTTGTTATTGGCCACTTATTAATTTTTTTGAATTTATTTTATTTTATTTTATTTATAAATTGTAAAATTTTTAAAATTTCATTTCGTTCTTTAAATAATATTAAAATTATACTTATAAAAACATTTTATCTATTTAAATGCACACCCCTACACCCCACACCTTCCACATCTCAAAAAGTTTCTCTTTCAAAATCCTAACAAAACTTATAACGGTAGAACTTTCCAAAATTAATGGAAAAAATTTGTGGTGATTAAGAAATTTTTTCTCTACTTCATTACGAGATTTGTCAATCTGTTTGATTTTTTTTATTAGCTATTTTCACACACACAACACAATCCACTTTTATGCTTCTTTGGTTGATTTTTTATCATTCATCCTTAGCCTCATCGTACTTGTATCCTCTCTGTGTGAGCAAAATTGGGCAGGATTTCACTCACCGGTTGACCACCTAAGGGTGATCTGACCTTTTTTATTTGTCTACTTTTGTTGTTGTTTTGATTATCTGTTCCCGAGCAAATGAAAAATATTCGGTTATCTATTTTCGAACAAATAAACAATGTTCAAACCTGTGTTCTCGAATTTCAATCATATGTTCGGGAGTTTAGTCTCAAAAAAATGAAGAACAATTTTTATTATTTTTGTCATTTTTTTAAAAAGCTTACCCTTACAAGGCTTTGCTTTTCTGAGCTAAAAACACCATTAAAATTATGAATCTCTTCTAAACTTTTATTGTTGTATTCCTATTGTCTCATGGAGTTGTGGTTGCCAAAAAAAAATTTCACTCATTGTCATTACCGAAGAAGTGTGTGTAAATAAATGGGTACTACCATTGTCACGCGGAATATTACTGTCAAAAAGTTTCAAGATTTTGAGGATAGGTAGATTTTGAAGGTGGAATTTAGAAAAGACGGATGGATGGCGATAGAGGTGAATACTCTCATAAACCCTAACTCATAATATAGTGGGTATGTGAGTTTAATTATGAAATAAAACACTCTAAAATTATTAATGCCTTTTTTAATAATTTCACTTAAAATTATTATTGTAATAAAAAAAATTAAAAAATAAAAAATTCAAAATAATTGATGGATACTAATAACAGCACCCAAGAAAAAACAAACATAACCATTGCTAGTTTTTATTATTATAAAGTGAACACCTCTTATGGTGTCTTGAAACTTTACTCTCCTCATACCATGTGGCAATATTTTTTATTTTTTTAAAAAAAGTTAAACAAAGAGATGGACAAGACTTGAACCCATGACCATGGGTTTAAGTATAAGGACTCATACCACTTAAGCTAAGTACACATTATAATATTAATTTCATTATTTTTTTTTTATTCCTACTTATTTAAATTGCACACACATTGTGTGTGCCACCCACTAGTATATATATATATGTCTCTGTTAATTATTTTAACCAAAATTTGAGTGTTTCTAAGGAACGGAGCGTTGGGTCCTTTTCAGTGCTGCTGCTTCTACTACTCTCTCTCTCTCTCTCTCTCTCTCCCCTCACACACAAGCAGATTGAAGAAGATGTCAGGAAGAAGAAGAGTTTCTGATTCTTCCATTATTGGACGAAGAATAATTGCTGATCATAATTGTCAAAAAGGTACAATATTTCCCTCATTCTTATTTCATCTGTTTCGTTCTCTCTCTAACACCTCCACAAGCCCTACTTCTCCTCCTCCTCCTCTTCCTGCTGCTGTTGCTGTAATACCCAAACAACGATGCAATTCGGGTCCCAATGATCTTCAATCTGCTTTAATTTCGTTCAATCGCATGCTCCAAATGCGACCTTTGCCCTCCATTTCTCAATTCAACAAAGCTTTAGGGCCTATCACCAAAATGGGTCATTACGACATCTCTCTTTCTCTTATTCTGAACAAGCTGCTACAGTTCCACGGCATTCAGCTCAATATCTACACCTTCAACATTGCTATTAACTGTTGTTGCCGCCTTAATCAAGCCCATTTTGGCTTCTCTCTGTTAGGTTCCCTCTTCAAACGTGGTTATACACCTACTGCAACAACCTTCACAACTCTGATTAATGGACTTATTTTGGAAGATAAAACCCCTGAAGCTGTAGAGTTATTTAAGAAATTAATCACAACTAGAGAAATTGAACCAGACTTGGTTATGTATGGAACCATTGTTAATGGGCTCTGCAGAACCGGGAACACTATCAGGGCTGTTAGTTTGCTTAGGATAATGGAAGAGGGAAGTCATAAACCTGACACCGTAGTGTATACCACGATCATTGACAGTCTTTGCAAGGATAGAATGGTGGATGATGCTGTCAAGCTCTTTACAGAAATGGATGAACAAGGCATTCGTCGAGATGTTATCACTTATACCTCTTTGATTCATGGCCTATGTAATTTCGGTCGGTGGAAAGAGGCTACCGAAATGTTAATAGAAATGTTGGATAGTGGTATTGTTCCGAATGTTCATACATATAGTGTGTTGGTGGATGCATATACCAAGGAAGGGAAGATTAAAGAGGCAGAGGGGGTCCTTGAAGTCATGATGCAAAGAGGTGTGGATCCTAATGTAGTCACATACAGTACTCTAATGGATGGATATTGTTTGCAAGGCCACATGGATGAAGCGATCAGAGTGTTCAATACCATGGTGGATAGGGGCCTTCACCCTAATATTTTTGGCTATAACATTCTAATCAATGGATATTGCAAGAACATGAAAATAGATGAGGCCATGCATCTCTTTCGAGAATTGCCTCAAAGGGGGTTGAAACCCGACAGCGGAACTTTCAACACTATGTTACAAGGTTTGTTTCGATCGAGTAGATGTGGAGCTGCTCAGGAACTTTTTAATGAGATGCAAGTTGTAGGCATAATTCCAAATTCTCAAACTTATGGTATCTTATTGGATGGGTTGTGCAAAAATGGGCATATTTCTGAAGCATTGTCATTATTCCACATGATGGAAAGCAACGGTTTACATCTTGATGTTGTTATGTACAGTATTCTCATTGATGCATTCTGCACAGTTAAAAAGCTTGATAGTGCAAGGGCCCTTTTCAGTGAGCTTTCTTCCAAGGGATTACAACCTAATGTTAAGACATACACTATGATGATACAAGGTCTTTGTGAAGAAGGCCTACTACACGAAGCTAAAGAGTTGTTTGTTAAAATGGAACAGAATGGTTGTTTGCCAGATGGTGTCACTTACAACACTATTATCCGAGGATTTATTGGACAACACAAGTGCTATGAGGCATTAATACTCGCTGAGGAAATGGTTCAAAGGGGTTTTTCAGCAGATGCATCCACTTTTCCCTTGATCGTCGATATACTCTCAACTAAAGGACAAGATCCTGCTCTCCAAGAAGTGATAAAGAAGTTCGTGCCCAAAGATAGTCATGGAATGCAAGAGAACAAGTAAATTTCTTAAGCTGTGAAGGTAAAGCTACATTAGACTAAAATGTGTTGCCTATTATCCTCACAAAAAGTCTATTATTAGGTGATACTCGTTTATATATATATATATTGCATTATGATATTCTTGTCTGCACTGATACATACCAGGCTAATTACAAAAATGGTACACTAACAGGTATGATATTAACAACATTGGTTGGGTTTTATTATACCTCTTCTCTTACACTAGGATGACCTTATTGAAGAATTTGTCTTCTGAAAAAAAAATGGTAAAAATTTAATGCATAGGTGATGATCACTGCATTTACATAAGGGGAAATTTTTTTACAACTTTATCAATTACATATTGACTAATGATCACTAAAATAGGGTTGTATAGAAAAAAAATTTAATAGCCTTATTAACATGTTGCGTAGTGATCACTACTATAGTGTTGTAGAGGCCTTTTCGGCAAGGTAAGCATCATTTGTCTTTTGAATATATTTTCCTATTGTTTTTTATGAACGATGTAAAGGGGCTAAACTATACAATTTTGATTGTGAGCTAAATTTGTTAAAATGGGGCAAAAGTGATCTATGCTGTTGATTTCTATATCTTTTGTTCACAATACAAGATGCAGCCCAATGGATATTATTTAGGCTGAAGTGGCTTGAACAGTGCTCCTTTCCTTATGGATGTTGAGTTGACCAACACCCAGCAACTTACCTGTAGTATTTGAGAATAATTCTACTTGTCAACCTTCCAATTTTGTGTGTTATAAGAATAAAGACCATGTATCTAGGAAGTTGCTCTCTCTCTCTCACTCTCTCTTGAAAGTAAGAACAGAGAAAAGATTTCTTGAAAAGCAATGGTTGCTGACCTGATAGTGGTTGACAAATTAGTATTAGGATTCTCCCATCTAAACAAGCCACTGATTGCTATATGAGATTGTAAATACAGTTTCATGGTCAGCCCTTTGACCTCTAATGCACACGGTGAGAAGCTAATTACCGAGGCATATCTACCAAGAAAGCTAGAAGCATTTTTCAGGAACAAAGTTGTACAAGGACTGAAATCCAATGCAGACGAAGCTCAGGAGTTGCTGCAACTGCAAGGATCGAAGCAGCAATTAAAGAGTTCCACTCTAGATGTGTTGTGGTTGTGCCTTAGTATGCCCTTTTATAGTTGTTTTTGGATAATTCTAGTGAATTTATTTGACTTGATACAGCCCTGCCCCACCCCCCCAACATTAGTTTAACCTGTGTGTGGAGACAATCAACACCGAAAAGGGAAAATGGGAAGAAGTACAGGCTCACCCTATTGATCAACCAATGACCAGCTCTAAAAATCTCTTCTTCCACTTGATTCTTCAATAGATAATTGTAATGTAGGTAAGAACATCCTACCGTGTATGTTGCACTCGAGAAAGAGGGTGGGTTCAGGTATTTGTTTTCTTTCCTTGGTCCTGTAGCTATGGTAAATGATGTTTGCTACTTGTGCAAGAACAGAACAATGAAAAAAAAAGATAGTAATGACATATTGATTCTAACTACACTAGAGGCATATCTAATAATAAAATCATTTGTTTTGAAATCAAGTTCTAGTCTATGATATTTGGATAAACATATGCTCATTCCCAATGAATTTGTTGTTGAAATGAGACCTTGGCACGTTAAGCCAACTCTGCAACCATGTCCAGAAACTACTTCAATATGTTTTAGCTGAAACAATGCACACAACTACCTGTCAACGGAAAAAAATTAAAATAAATCCTGGCTAGTTTATTTTGTATCGTCGCCCTTTTATTTTCACCCTAGTTGAGCGAATACACTGGCTTGTTCTTGAAAAATTCAACAAACAAAGTCATACCTCATCTATTGGTGAGCTCCACAAACCTATTATTGCAATTCTTAGATAGGTCATACCTGTGGGCTAGTTGTGGCGCTATAGTAGATTATAAATGATATGCACGTTATGATCTCCTTAATCCTGATTGTTTTTGGCATTCCCCTTTTGCATTGCTTTCATTTTGAAATATGTTACTAGTTATAGGTGTAGAAGACCAGATTTCATTGCTAGTTTGTTCTAGAGATGATGGGGAAAAAAAAAAGAAAAAAAGAGAGACCTTCAGATATCATTTGTATGTCAAGTCAAACAAAAATGTGATCTTTGTTAGCGTTGACTCTGGCTAGGCTCTTGTATGTTTATTTATGATTGCAAATATCAGTCTTCTTCTTCATTCTCCTCTAGGCGATTGGCATGTTTTCAATGCAAATGCTCACTTGATGAATCTTTAAATACTAATGTTGCTACCATCTGAATATATATATATATATATATATGTTTTGTGCAGGTAAGGACAGGTGAAACCGATGTTTTTGGGTTGATGTTGATAACAGCTTTATGGCAACGTCCGCAACGGCTGTGTCTTGTAAATAAATAAGAGAACAAGATTGGATACTCAACTAATTGACCATCGATCAATGGGTGTGTGGAAGAATCTTATCCACATCATATGAGATGAGCTTTTAAGGGCCTGTGAAATATACTCGTCAAAAAACGCAGCATGAAGTTGAAGTCCTAGGTAGACCAAACTCAGTCCTTTTGCATTTGCTTTGATTCTATATGTTTACTATTTCCCTTAGCCTAAAAAAGATGTACTTGGTATTTTTAAGAGTCTTTGTGCACTGAAGCATTACATGTTTCTCTTTGAATATCGTTGTAGCAAATTATGATCTCAAATGTTTGCTGAGGATTCTTTCCCTTTTGTTTTTTATGAATGAGTTCTAGAGTTACTGAACATTATATATGAATTTTCTTTTATGAATTTATTGTTTGATTGATAATTAAATTGGTTATTGAAGCTTTTTATGTCTTTTGATGGAGAAAAATCAAAAAATCTGTAATTTTTATTTTTGGGGATGTGGAGTTGATGGAAGCAAATTGTTTGCCCTACTTACGCTGTGTTTGGATAATGGGTTTAAACAATGATTTGAGAAGGAAGAGAAAAATTGTGAGGATGAAAAATTGTGAATAAAGGAGTAAATTTTTCTTTAATTTGTCATCTCTTTTTCAAACCTCAACTTAAATTTACGAACCAAACACAATATTTGAAAATGTTAGGCTACAATATTTGTCATACATACCACATGCAAGCTATAATCAAAATTGGTGTTGGTTTAAAACTATTGCGGTGCTGTGTTATGGGGTATTATGGTGGTGGAGCAAGCAAATTATTAAAACAAAATTGGCTAAAAGTTATTATGGTTGATTAAATTTTAAAGTGATTATGGGATATTATGGTGGTGGAGCAAACAAGTTAATAAATAAAATTGATTAGGATTTATTCTGGTGTTTGAAGAAGATGTCAAGAAGAAGAGTTTCTGTTTCTTCCATTATTGGAGGAAGAAGAATTGATGGTCATAATTGTCTAGTAAAAGGTGCAATATTATTTGATCACTCTGGAATTAATCATCCCTTGTCCTCATTCTTATTTGTTCTGTTTTGCTGTTCTCTCTCTACTACGACTACCCCCACGTGCCCTAGTTCTCATCGATGGAATTTGCGGCACAACGATCTCAAAGATGCTATACATTTGTTCAATTGCATGCTCCAAATGCAACCTCTGCCCCCCATTTCTCGATTCAACAAAACTTTAGTTCCTCTTTTGAGAATGGGTCATTACGACATCGCTTTATCTCTTATTATTGGCAAGTCGCATTTTCTAGGCACGCAGGTCAATCTCTGCGCTTTCAGCATTGCTATTAACTGTTACGGTCAACTCAATCGAATCCATTGTGGCTTCTCTCTTTTGGGTGCCCTCTTCAAATGTGGTTATACACCTGATGCAACTACCTTCACAACTCTAATTAATGGACTTATTTTGCAAGATAAAACTCCTCAAGCTGTGGAGCTTTTTAAGAAATTAATCAGAATCAGAGAAATTCAACCCAACGTGGTTATGTATGGATCCATTGTCAATGGGCTCTGTAGAACGGGGAACGCCAGCAGGGCTATTAGTTTGCTTAGGATAATGAAGGAGGCAAGTTGTAAACCTAACACCGTAGTGTATAACACAATCATTGATAGTCTTTGCAAGGATAGAATGGTGGATGATGCTCTCAAACTCTTTATAGAAATGGATGAAAAGGGTATTTTCCTATATGTTGTCACTTATAATTCTTTGATTCATGGCCTATGTAATTTCTGTCGGTGGAAAGAGGTTACCAAAATGTTCAGAGAAATGTTGGATAGTGGTATTGCTCCAAATGTTCATACATATAGTGTGTTGGTGGATGCATGTACCAAGGAAGGGAAGATGAACGAGGCAGAGGGGGTACTTGAAGTCATGATACAAAGAGGTGTGGATCCTAATGTAGTCACATACAATACTCTAATGGATGGATATTGTTTGCAAGGCCACACGGATGAAGCAATTAGAGTGTTCAATAACATGGTGGACAAGGGCCTTCACCCTAATATTTTGAGCTATACCATTCTGATCAACGGATATTGCAAGAAGATGAAAATAGATGAGGCCGTGCATCACTTTCGAGAAATGCCTCAAAGGGGGTTAAAACCCAACAATGGAATTTTCTACACTATGTTATGGGGTTTGTTTCAAACAGCTAGATGTTCAGCTGTTCATGAACTTTTTAATGAGATGCAAGCTGCAGGCATAATTCCAAATTATCAAAATTATGCTATCTTGTTGGATGGGGTGTGCAAAAATGGGCATATTGTAGAAGCATATTCATTATTTCAGTTAATGGAAAGGAACAATTTAGATCTTAATATTGTTACGTACACTATCCTCACTGATGGATTTCGTAAGGTTAAAAAGCTTGATAGTGCAAGGGCCATTTTCAATAACCTTTCTTCCAAGGGATTACATCCTAATGTTAGGACATACAATCTGATGATACAAGGTCTTTTTGAAGAAGGCCTACTGGATGAAGCTAAAGAGTTGTTTGTTAAAATGAAACAGAATGGTTGCTTGGCAAATGATGTCACTTAGAACACTATCATCCGAGGATTTATCGGACAACACAAGTGCTATGAGGCATTAATACTTGTTGAGGAAATGGTTCAAAGGGGTTTTTCAGCAGATGCATCCACTTTTCCCTTGATCGTCGATATACTCTCAACTAAAGGATAAGATCTTGCTCTCCATGAACTGATAAAGAAGTTCATGCCCAAAGATAGTCATGGAATGCAAGAGAATGAGTAAATTTCTTAAGCTGTGAAGGTAAGGTATACTAAAACGTGTAGCCTTTTATGCTTATAAAATGTCTGTTATTTGGTAAAACTCTTTTAAATATATGAATAGATGTTGCATCTTGCCTGCACCGATTTACTGCACTAATGACAAACAGTACATAGACTGGTATGATATTAACGCCATTGGTTATGTTTTCTTATACCTCTTCTCTTACACTAGGATGAAATTATTGGTATAAATTAAATGGGTTGAGATTGATCTCTATTAGCAAGAAGATTGATCATGAAATTGTTCCGTTTGTAATTCCTACAGTGCTATATTAGTTACTCTTTGCATGAAATAGAAGATACAGCCATTGTCTTGTTTGAATAAATGACTCAAAGATTATAGCATGGCTTCTACTAGCTTTTGAATTCTTTTTGCAATGTGCAAATCTAAAAACCCAACTTGAGAAGCATTTAACCTAAATTACCTTAGGTCTATAACATGGATACAGTTTTGCTAGTCACCATTTTCAAACTTACATCTTTCATTCTTTTCAAACATCACTCTTTTTTAATGGAATGCATATTAAGATGGATTAAGATAACTTAGTGAACCATTTTTGCTAGTGTATCTTTAAAATGATTGAGTCGGCTTGTAGTTTACTTGGTTTATTAGCCCATATTTTGATGTTACCAATCAAGGATTCTTTGGAAGGAAAGATTGGTTTGCAACTATGGGGTTCTAGTGTTGCTATATGGTATTATGATAAGATTTGGTTATATATAGCTTGCATTTATTAAGCTAACTACAGATTCGGTAGTTCTCACATGACCCTTGGGGTGATTTTAAAAGTTTCCTGGTATGTATCCTTATGATATTGGGGCTGTTGAGTCTAAAAGATACCGATATTGAACTGTACCATAGCTAGAGTGGAAGTGAATTATCAAGGCACGAGTACTAACAAAGTTGCTAGTGGCTACGCAACTGTAGGAGGCCAACCTGTGGACAATTTGTCCAATTGTTGGGTTGTAATGCTGTAAAACACAAGGCTGCAATCTGCAGAGGCTATGGGTTGCATAGTGTCTGGCTAGCAAATGTTTCCTGGACTGATTGATGAGAGACAAAATGAGGGTTGTAAAGACCCACATATGGAGTGAAATTTGACAGATGTCCCAAGAATGGAAACGCTTTGGCTGGTTAAATTGGCAACGTGCAACTTTCATTTAGAATGGCATGTAATCAACTTGATGAGCAAACCACTTTTCCATCTTACCTATCCAATGAGATTGAAGGTGGGATCATGCGTCTTTTGCTGGGTAACAAACAATAACAGATGCAGTAGGAATTTGCCTTTTTGTTGTCTCCCACTGGTACAGGGATAGCCTATGTTACACAAACTCTTCAAAATAAATCAAATACTCGTGTCAGACACCTGACACTCGAACAAGGGTATGTGATATGTGTCAAATACTTTTCAATGTATACTTCTTATATAATTGTATATAACACTACTATTATATACACATATTGTCGTATAATTGATATAAATATCTTTTTGACGCTGTAAGTTACATATTGTACCATTTTATCTCACACACTTGATTAAAAATATTAAAATATGATATTTTTTTGCCGAATCTGCGTAGCTTGATGAGTCTAACATCTAGTACATACTTGCACCGACACCCATACCCGAGTCTATGTAACATAGGGGATAGCTGCTTTTTCATTAGTCAACACCATAAAGCTTCATTTTATTTTTTTTGTTTCTCTAGCATTACCATTTGAATTTTATTAATAGTTGGATGTTGCTTAGTAATTTATAGATTCTGTTATGATGTTGCTCATTAATTTTTAGTTTTTGAACATATTTTACATGTTGTTTTTCACGACAGATGCAAAAGAGCTATAAAATTTTGATTATGAGCCTTAATTGATTAAAATGAAGCAAATGCAATCTATGGGAAGAAGATAAAGGATAGGCTGGCCTTGTTGATCAACCGAAGACAAGCTCTAAAAATCACTTCTTCCACTTAATTCTTCAAGAAATAATTGTAATGTCCTTAAAATGTTCTACGGTATATGTTGCACTGGAGAAAAAGGATAGGTTCAAGTATTTGTTTTCTTTCCGTGATCCTGAGTATGACAAATAATATTTACTATGAAAAAAAATAAGGTATTGACATTTTGATTGTAGATACACTCGAGGCATAATTGTTTTTTTCTGCAGAGATTGAAATCCAATTCTAGTCAATTTTGTGTGCTATTAGAACAAGTCCATAAATGTACAAAATTGATGATGCAGGACGAGCAGGGATCATTTTCCCACAAGTAGTGAGCCCAGGTTAAGCATACTGATAGCAGCAACAATAGACTTATATGGCTGGATTTAGTGGGATTTTGTGGCTGCAAGAGTATTTAAAAAATAGGAGTTTAAGGGTTTGAAAAAGGTAGGGTTTTGGGAATTAAAACACAAGTGTTTAAAGGCAGTTGGATGGCTGTTCTAAGCATTGTGAACAGTGACGTGAACAATAACCTTGCTGGAGAGAGAGGGGGGTACTTCATCCTCACAAAGGATAGGCCAATCACACAAATACAATCTCAAATTTTCATAATATTAACTCTTCTGTTGAATCATTGAGATTATACATATATTTATAAGCTAATGACTCTCAACTTCTAATATTCTAAACCAACTATGACTTCCAATTCTACTTCAATCATAATAAGAAACTTTAATTACTTTTAATTCTACTTCAATATCAAAATAGGAAACTTGGTCTTTTAACCACTAAGATTATTATATATAATAAATCACATGTAATGACCCATTTAATAAATTAACCCAAAATAAAACCCATGGGCAATTCTACAACCCATGTCCAGCAATATTGAAATTACTATAATACCCTTAGCTACTAAACACTACCATGGACACTTTTATTTGGACCAAAAAGGCTTCTTGACGATCTTAGGACCTTTAGACTTTGTGTTGGGCTTCCACAGCCTACCGTACTTATTTTGCCATGCAATAGATGTTGCATCAATTGATCTCTCGCTTTTTGTGCTAATAAGAACAGAGAAAACATTTCTTGAAAAACATAGGTTTCTGTTTGGTAGTGGTTTACAAATTAGTATTAAGGATTCTCCCATCTCAACATGCCACTGGTTGCTGTAAGAGATTGTAAATGTATGCCCTGTTTATAGTTGTTAGGGATAATTCTTATGAATATATTTGATCCCAAATCCCTCTGTTTGCAACCTGTCCCCACCAAAAAGGGAAAAGTGGAAGAAGCAAATGTACAGGCTTACCCTATTGATCAACCAGCAACAAACTCTGAAAATTTACTTCTTTCACTTGATTCTTAAAGAGATAATTGTAATGTCCTCAAGAACATCCTATAGTGCATGTAGCATTGGAGAAAGAGGGTAGTTTCAGGTTTTTGTTTTCTTTCCTTGGTCCTCTAGCCGTGACAAATGATATTTCCTACTTGTGCAAGAATAAAACAAAAGAAAATAAAAAGAAAAAAGGGTAATGACATTTTGATTGTAGCTACACTAAAGGCATATCAAATTAGACAACCACCTGTTTTTTTTGTAGAGATTGAAATCAAATTCTAGTGTATAATATTTGCATGAACTTGTGTTGAGTCTTGATGAATTTGTTGTTGAAGTGAGACCTTTGCATGTTAAGCAGTCTCTACAACCAAATGTGCACTCCAGAAAACCAACTTTAATATGTTTTAGCTTGGATTGATGCACAAAACTACCTATCAATGGAAAAAGTAAATATGAAAGTCTCATGGCTAGTCTATTTTGTATCATCACCCTTCTATTTTTCACCTAGTTCAGCAAATACACTGACTTGTTCGTTACTTGAAATTTTTCAACAAGCAAAGCCATACCTCATCTATTAAGTGAGCTTCATGAACCCATTATTTCAATTCTTAGATTGGTTGTACCTGATGACTAGTTGTGAACTAGTAGCCCTGTGGTGGATTGTAAACAATATGCACCTTCTGATCTCCTTAATCCTGGCTCTTTTTGGCATTTCCTCGTCTTTTGTATTGCATTTGGTTTGAACTATGTTACTAGTTATAGGTGATAAAGACCAGAAAGTGTGGCCTATTTGTTCTAGGGATGAACAAATGAGAAAAACAAGTGATCTTTATTAGCCACCCTTTTGACTCAGAACTAGTGGACTTCATGCTAAACTCCTGTATGTTTGTTTGTAATTGCAAATATGCTAGTCTTCTTCTTCATTCTCCACTAGGAGATTGCCATGTTCAATGCACATGCTCACTTGATACTTCATTAAATATAGATGCAGCTACCACCTGAAAACATACGTCTATTTTGTGTAGGTAAGAGGTGAAATTGATGTTTCCAGGTTGATGTTGATAAAAGCTTTATGTCATTATCCTTCAACAGCTCTATCTTGTAAAGAAATGTTCCCAGGTTTCTACACAAATAGGAGAACAAGGATTGATACTAAACTAATTGACCATCAATCAGTGGGTGCATGGGAGTAACCTTTCGCATTTGCAATGACTCTATATGTAACTATTTTCCTTGGTAGAAACACTTATATACTTGGTATTCTTACAGTCTCTGTACCCAATGAAGCTTTGAACCACTCAGGTTATCGGGCATATCTTTACAAGTTTCTTTTTTCTAAATTGTTTGCAGCAAATTATGATCTCTCAAATGCTTAGTGAGATTCATTCTCTTATTTTTTATAAGAATTTTCATTTTATGAATGAAATTTTGTATGTTTTTGGATGGATGGCAAGCTCTACCTCCAGAACTCTCTATTTATGTTTGTTGATACAAGAATGACAAGAATGGGCACTCTTTCCTCTTACAAAATAATTGCCTTGACCCCTACTCTGTTTTTGGAAACAGAGCCAAATAGTGTAACTAGTTTGCTTAACAAACTTAACCCTATTCTAAAGCCTTTATCTGCTACTAACGGACAAATTCTACTCAACCTTCTATTCCCTTTTTGATTGACCGAGGGTGGCTTGACGAAAAAAATTATCAGGTGGTTCGGGAATTTTAGTGTAGCCATTATATCCACCCATCCAATTAGGTGTGATGATGTGAATTTTAACTCTTTTTTAAGGGGTGCAAATTGATTACATATTCCCTTGTGATTGGATGAATACATGATTTTAAATTTTCTTCAATGTTGACATGTTGTCTGTCATTTTTTTTAGTGTTCAATTTTGTGTGTGTGTGTGTGTGTGTAAGAATGAACCATAGTGGTTGGGCTAGACATGTCTTTCGAAAGAAGAAAGAGAAAAAAATAATCTGGAGACTACCAAATGTCCCCAAGTTTACTTTGTAGATTTTCATCAAAAATTGTTTTTTGAGTAAAAGTTTCATTTGCTCAAATTAGCTTATCCTTTCAATTTGGTATTTTCAATGATGGCAAATCAAAGAAATATTTCATCGTTGTTTATTTATTAATTTGGCTAGAGTATTGAAGCAATTTATCAAGAATGAGAACAAAAAAAAAAACGATACCACAAAATTAAAGGTATTAGAAAATCTGGCATTTTATTTTTTATTTTTGATTCCTCGGCACAATAACCTTACTTGGTTTAACTCATTTTTTTATAAAATTAGATTTTTTTTTATTTTTTTTATGAATTTTTAAAATATTTTTTTTACTTTTTAAATTTACTTAACTTGGATACACTTAAAAAATATAATATTTATAAAAAAAATTATATACACTTTCATATTGTTTTTGTATTTATTGAATTTTTTAAATAGATTTTTACAAATATTTTATTTTTAAAATAATAATAACAATAATAATTTAAAATAAAAGTGAAAAAAAGAAAGTCAGCTCAAACTCACACCACACTGCGTTTGAAGAAGAAGATGTCAAAAATTGATGTATCTGCCATTGTTGGAAGAGCAATAGCTTATAATTGGGTATTAAAAGGTACGCCACTAGATGAAGAATTTATGTTTCTTTCATTATTGGACGAAGAAGAATTGCTGATCACAATTGTCTACTAAAAGGTACAATATTATTTGATCACTCTGGAATTAATCATCCCTCCTCCTCACTCTAATTTGTTCTGTTTCGTTGTTCTCTCTTTACTACCCCCAAAGCCCTAGTTCTCATGAGCACACTAGTCAGTAGGAGCACTATGCCAGATAAGAAGAGTTAGGACTGCACAGAAACTAGTTTGTCGCCTCTCTCCATATTAGACACATTGAGAGAGCAATATAACTGTTTTGAGTCTGTAAAAAAAGGGATGTTCTTCTTGCCAAATGAAGCCCTCAGTGAAATGTTATTACACCTTGTGTTGGTCGATGAACAACATTCACATTGTGCAAGAAATCTATTCAAACAAGAGTAACAGATCAATTTAGATTCAACACCATATTAGCTCAAACAAGCAATCTATTCAAACAACCAATAGCCTAGAGAAAACTTCAAATCACTATTTCTCCAAGTTTTAGAGTTTGTGCATAATTACCAAAGCGGACTCCCAAATTAAGAACCATTCAATGCATGAGATTTTCGCTAAAGCGGAGTCTTAGAGATGGTAAAATATACATTGTCTCACTCTTATTTTGAAGAGACTGTGTTTCTGTAATTCAAATCTATGTCATCGCAAATATTAAATAGCAAATCTTATTATTGGGTCAAACTGTCATTCTTTAAGGAGGACTTTTAAATACATAAACAAATTCAAACATTACATTTTTTATATTTTTAATAAAATATGAAATATGAAAATATTATTTATGAGCGCCATCATGAGAGATTTTGAAAGAGAGCTGATTTCAATACCTTTGATATTTTTCGTCAAACTAGTGAGTTCTTAGTTTTGTTTGAAAGAGAACTTCCACTACTACCATTTATGGATAAAAGTTGGATATATATGATTAATATATATGTATATATCTCACATGGGAGGGGTTTATATGTATATATCTCACATGGGAGGGGATACAAACCGACACAACTTAGCAATTTCATAGCGAACTATAGAACCCCAAAATCATTATAATTTAAAGTAAGTTGTTATGGTATGCATTTTAAAAAATGTGTCATAGTAGACGTAACTCGTTTGGGAATATGCTTTATTAGTAACTTTTTAATTTTTTGGCTACAATATGATGCAAAAAAATTAGTATGTTTGGGATAATTTTTTGATTTTTTATGAAAAGATGTCCAAAAAATAGAAAAAAAGATAAAATCTTTGAATTTTTAGTATAAATTGTTGGCTTTTTGATTTTTTTAATAATTTTTTGACTTTTTAGCTAAAATCACCACTTGTCAAACGAGACCTTATGATATTTTGTAACAAACATCACTGCAGCTGGTTTTTAGGTTTTAAAGCTCAAAATTGAATCCTTTCGTTAAAGATTCGAACGATTGCACAGCGTAACATTTTATCATTGAGTGTTCAGAGTGAAGCGCCCAAGTCATAAGAGAGGTCAAAATGGGATGTCTACAATCACCCTAAGCCATAACTCTACTCACTAATATAATTCATAACATTTATACTAAACTCGTAATATTATTTTAAAAGTGCACACACCTTCTTTGAATTTTTAGTATAAATTGTTGGCTTTTTGATTTTTTTAATAATTTTTTGACTTTTTAGCTAAAATCACCACTTGTCAAACGAGACCTTATGATATTTTGTAACAAACATCACTGCAGCTGGTTTTTAGGTTTTAAAGCTCAAAATTGAATCCTTTCGTTAAAGATTCGAACGATTGCACAGCGTAACATTTTATCATCGAGTGTTCAGAGTGAAGCGCCCAAGTCATAAGAGAGGTCAAAATGGGATGTCTACAATCACCGTAAGCCATAACTCTACTCACTAATATAATTCATAACATTTATACTAAACTCGTAATATTATTTTAAAAGTGCACACCTTATATTCGTTTTATTACAAAGTGACCTAACACATCACAAACACTCCACTTTCATCCAAAAAAATAAAATTAAATAAAAAATTTATCATGAAATGTATCAAACATGTAACAAGAAAATTTTCTATGAAAGAACAAATTTATTATTAGTTCTTTTTATTTAGACTCAGTGAAATCAATTATTTATGTCGATCATCTCCATCATCATTTGATCATTTTCATGATCATTATCAATTGCTATTGTTGATCAATTTCATCAAATGCAATGTTTCATATTTTGGTAAAATAATAGTACAATGACCACAATAACAAATGAATGAGCAAAGCAATTAGGAGAGAAAAAAAACATGACTGTTGCCAGTTTTTATTATAGGTAATATATATATATATATACTAGATTTGGAAAGTTCACGAGTTATTGTTATAATATATTTATATTTTATATTTTAATAATTTTTTTAAAATATTTGTATAATTATAAAAAAAAATTACTCAATATATAATTCATCATCAATAAATTATTCAAAATAAAAAAAAAAAAAAAAAATTGATGGATGTTAATAACAACACTCAAATAAAAAAAAACATAACCATTGCTAGTTCTTGTTATAGGTAATATATATATATATATATATATATCTAATGTTAATTATATATATGTCTATTAATTATTTTAACCAAAATTCGAGTGTTTCTTAAGGAACGGAGCGTTGGGTCCTTTTCAGTGCTGCTGCTTCTACTACTCTCTCTCTCTCTCTCTCTCTCTCCCCTCACACACAAGCAGATTGAAGAAGATGTCAGGAAGAAGAAGAGTTTCTGATTCTTCCATTATTGGACGAAGAATAATTGCTGATCATAATTGTCAAAAAGGTACAATATTTCCCTCATTCTTATTTCATCTGTTTCGTTCTCACTCTAACACCTCCACAAGCCCTACTTCTCCTCCTCCTCCTCTTCCTGCTGCTGTTGCTGTAATACCCAAACAACGATGCAATTCGGGTCCCAATGATCTTCAATCTGCTTTAATTTCGTTCAATCGTATGCTCCAAATGCGACCTTTGCCCCCCATTTCTCAATTCAACAAAGCTTTAGGGCCTATTACCAAAATGGGTCATTACGCCATCTCTCTTTCTCTTATTCTCAACAAGTTGCAACAGTGCCAAGGCATTCAGGTCGATCTCTACACCTTCAACATTGCTATTAACTGTTATTGCCGCCTTAATCAAGTCCATTTCGGCTTCTCTCTGTTAGGTTCCCTCTTCAAACGCGGTTTTACACCTGATGCAACTACCTTCAACACTCTGATTAATGGACTTATTTTGGAAGATAAAACCCCTGAAGCTGTAGAGTTATTTAAGAAATTAATCACAACTAGAGAAATTGAACCCGACTTGGTTATGTATGGAACCGTTGTTAATGGGCTCTGCAGAACCGGGAACACTATCAGGGCTGTTAGTTTGCTTAGGATTATGGAAGAGGGAAGATGTAAACCTAGCATCGTAGTGTATAACACAATCATTGACAGTCTTTGCAAGGATAGAATGATGGACGATGCTGTGAAACTCTTTACAGAAATGGATGAAAAGGATATTTTCCCAGATGTTGTCACTTACAACTCTTTGATTCATGGCCTATGTAATTTTGGCCGGTGGGAGGAGGCTACAGAAATGTTAAGAGAAATGTTGGATAGTGGTATTGCTCCAAATGTTCGTACATTTAATGTGTTGGTGGCTGCATGTACCAAGGAAGGGATGATGAACGAGGCAGAGGGGGTACTTGAAGTCATGATACAAAGAGGTGTGGATCCTGATGTAGTCACATACAATACTCTAATGGATGGATATTGTTTGCAACGCCACATGGATGAAGCAATCAGACTGTTCAATACCATAGTGGATAGGGGCCTCCACCCTGATGTTGTTAGCTATAACATTCTAATCAACGGATATTGCAAGAAGATGAAAATAGACGAGGCCATGCATATCTTTCGAGAAATGCCTCGAAGGGGGTTGAAACCCAACATTGGAACTTTCAACACTATGTTACAAGGTTTGTTTCGATCGAGTAGATGTGGAGCTGCTCAGGAACTTTTTAATGAGATGCAAGTTGTAGGCATAATTCCAAATTCTCAAACTTATGATATCTTATTGGATGGGTTGTGCAAAAATGGGCATATTTCTAAAGCATTGTCATTATTCCACATGATGGAAAGGAACGGTTTAGATCTTGATGTTGTTATGTACAGTATTCTCATTAATACATTCTGCAAGGATAAAAAGCTTGATACTGCAAGGGCCCTTTTCAATAACCTTTCTTCCAAGGGATTACATCCTGATGTTAAGACTTACACTATGATGATACACGGTCTTTGTAAAGAAGGCCTACTACACGAAGCTAAAGAGTTGTTTGTTAAAATGGAACATAGTGGTTGCTTGGCAGATGATGTCACTTACAACACTATTATCCGAGGATTTATTAGACAACACAAGTGCTATGAGGCATTAATACTCACTGAGGAAATGGTTCAAAGGGGTTTTTCAGCAGATGCATCCACTTTTCCCTTGATCGTAGATATACTCTCAACTAAAGGACAAGATCCTGCTCTCCAAGAAGTGATACAGAAGTTCATGCCCAAAGATAGTCATGGAATGCAAGAGAATGAGTAAATTTCTTAAGTTGTAAAGGTAAGGCTATATTATCCTAAAACGTGTAGCCTTTTACGCTCATAAAATGTTTGTTATTTGGTGAAACTCTTTTAAATATATGTATAGATGTTGCATCTTGCCTGTACTGATATGTACTGCACTAATGACAAATGTAGTACATTGGTGGTGTTTGGCAACCCAGTTTTGGTGCATATTTTAGTCCCAACGGAAAAAATTTCAAAAATCCGGCACTGTAGCTGAGTGAAGGGAGTGTCCAGCTGTATCGCATTATGTACGGTAAAAAGACAGTTTTGCCCTCCGAACCTGCGTCATCTGGCAAGAGACACACGCACGTCTCTTCTCTCTCATATCTCACATGCTCTCTACCCTCTACCTGGACGATTTCACAGCAGAGGTGAGTAGCTAGCTCCGATGCATGCATTCTGGCGGAACCGACGGTGAACACCAACAAGCCGATCGTCGAGGATTCTTAAAGGTACGGATGCGAAACACCATTTGTTAGCTTTTTCTTCACCGATCTGTGAAAATGATGAACTCCCCTGCAATTTCTTTTCTTCCTTCAGCTCCGGTCGTGAACTCCCCTGATCTTCCTGGTGCGCTTCACTAGGAAGTCATTTTTTCATATTGATGTGTTTCGAACTAAACCAAACAAACCATTTTCCCTCTTTCAAATTTTCCTTCATTTTGGGTTTGATAAAATGATTTTCTAGATCAACCTTTTTTTTCGTTTGTCATGTAATGTAAATAACAACTAAAAAATTCATTTCAAGGGTTGAACAGCAGCTCTGATTCTTGTTAGGAATTTTTTTTTTTCCCCTATTTTTATTTTCACTGTAAATACCAAAAAATTGGACAAAATAACAAAAATGAAAATTATTTTTCGTACTATAATTTTTCATAAAAACCTGAAATTCAAAATTATGAAAAAATATATAAAATTTGCCTTTCATCAACAATTAATCAAATTAACAATTTACATTTGTTTCACTTATTTTTTTGGGGAAAAACTTACGAAATCTTGTAATATGTTAACCTGTTTTAAAGTGACTAAGAAATTATCCGAAAGTAAAGGACAAAAAAAATATTGACCGATGCTTTTATTTGGGGAGAAACTTAGTTGGTTTAATGAACTTGTTTACAGTAGTTGTTTAACGAGGCATCATAATTTTTTTTTTCATATAATTTCATTTTCAGTTCAAATAGGTTTGGCTTTGCACATTAACTGATTTGCATCTCTCTGTTTAGAGCATCTCTCTGTTTACATATGCACTTGCTGTACATTATTTCCATGCCACAACGCATCTCCATTTTTTGTGATGTATTGGACTACTTCTGATATGCTACTCAGAATTAATGGAAAATGAATGAAGTTATGCAAGTGAAAATGAAGTATTTGTTCATATTTGTTCAATCTGTTATGCTGTTCATATTTGTTCCCAAACGTATCTATGCTGTCTTAGCATTACAAGAGTCATCCTTGCTTTTAGCCATCACCAAGACAATGCTTTCACAGGAAACAAATGTTTTTAATTTATGTACACAAACAAAATGTTAAGAAATGGACAAATGTGATCTGTATTTTTAGTAATTGGATTTCCCAAAGCTTTTTGAATGACCTTAATTACCTATTCACTCAATCTGTTATTGTTTGTAGATTGTAATTCCTGAAATCTGTTATGCTGTTATAAATTCACTGTTACATTTCATGGAATAAATTTGCATAGCAATTATAACCCCAATCTGTGGTACTGTTTTAGTTATGTACTTGGTCTGTGTGTAGTAATATGGCTTCCTCTTTTTCCATTGCCACGTCAACATGGCCACAACGCATGTGTGCTTGTGGCTATGGCCACTGTTTTGTGAAGGTATCCAGATCTCACAAAAATCCTGGTCGTGCATATTATGTTTGCCCCCACCCCGTGGTGAGTTGTAACAAATGATTATTTGTCACTCCAGTTATATGCACACTGTAAATCCCATATCTAATAAATGTTTAACGTGTCTTACTCATCAGCAATGTGTTAATTGGGTTGGTTGGTGTGACAAATCAGGGACACGAATCCCCACCATGACTCTGGGTCAATCGATGTAATGCAGTTACGGGCTGATGTCGTGAACATTTTCAATACTTTGTATGTAATGAAAACGGTGATTTGTATGTTGTGCATCATGGTCATCATCTTATTATTGCGAATGTAGCAACCCTGTAAACCATTTCGTAACTGTACACAGTAGTTAGTGTTTTGGAAAAGTTACTTTCTGAACAAGTAAATGCTTTCTCATCGTTTGTATGTAGCAACTATGCAATTAGTAATTATCGTACTACTTTTGGATAAAGCATGTGGAAGTTGTCTGTTACATATTGTTCATAGTTTATTGTCTGAAATGTATTGATCAACTGCGTTCTAATGTATACAATACGTCCAGTCACATTACTGTAATGGCTGCAACACGGTCGTCCCCTTGCACCCCGTCTAAGAATAAAGGGGTTGGCCCATCAGGTACCGAAGGCATTGTTGATGGCTTAGATCATGCACATAAGGCGAACTGGGACAGTGCAGCTATAGAAATATTCCTACAGTGCGTTCAAGACGCAATATTAGCGGGCCGTCGGGTGGGTACAACGATAACCAAAACAGGGTACAATGAAATTGCACTGAAATTCACTAAGCGCACAGGTAAACGTCATAACATTACACAGCTTAAGAACAAGTACGGCAGTTTGAAAAAGGAATGGCAGGCGTGGAACAAGTTGATGGATAGCAGTAAGGGTGTGACTGGCATTGGGTTTAACAGGGACACCGGGTTGTTCACGGCGTCAGAAGAGTGGGGGGACAATCTTAAATCGGTATGCACTAACATATATCTTATTTTACATAATTTGTATTTCTAAGTTTAATGGGAACTTGTACTTTTTCCATTTTCATTATTTGTCGTAAACTTTTGTCATAAACTTAAATTGTCCTTCGATTTTTCATTTGCAGACAAACAAGATCGCTTACAAATTCAAGACGAAGCTATTGGAGCATAAAGATTTGATGCGCGCGGTATTCACGGGTGCAACTGCGACTGGCAAACACCATTGGACGCCGGGGGAGAAGCCTGTGGATGTTGGCGAAGGTGAATCCGACTCAGTGGAGTCTCCTGGGTTGGCACCATTTACGGAACCATACAGACCGATCGTTAACTCACCTCCAAATTCCCCTACCATCGACCTTGAAGAAGTAGAACCCGGGACAAAAAGGAAAAAAGGATGTAGCAGTAGTGGAAAGTCGAAAAAGGTCTCTAGTGGAGCATCGGTGCTTGCGGATAGTTTTAACCATCTGTCTAAGGCGGTTGAAGCACAGAAGCACCTGACGGTCAGGCACGGAACTGGTGCATTGCAAAAGTATAGCATTGAGCCATGTATGCAACGGCTTATGGCTATCTCGGACTTCATCAGTACCCCCCTGTTCCATTTCGCATGCACGGCGTTAGAGAATGCAGATTACCGTGAAATATTGATGTGCATGCCAGATGATGAGAATGTAGTCGATTGGCTTGCACAATTGCAGGTTTCGAAAGGCCTGTGAGTACTTGTGTTTGGTCGTTCACGAAAAAAAGGGACCTATTTGGTTTTGATGTAGTGTGGTTTTTGTGGACTACTTGTATGGGTCATTTGTCGTAGTTGTTTTGTTTTTTTTGTGTGGTACTACATCGTTGTACTTACTATTATTTTACTTTTGTGCACGCTACATACTTTTGTCTACTGCAGTATGGGATCATGGTGTAACCTCTACTTTTTGGGCATAGTACAGTTTGATGGTTTAATGTAATGTCACACACTAGTTGATGTGTTCCACTTTAATGGTTGAAATTTAATGGTCCAACTGTGCTTACCTTATAACTGGAGAATTGATTGGTGCGTTGTGTGCATTGTATGAGTCATCGACAAATAATGTTGAAAAGTCAAAATAGCAACTATAGAAATTACGATGATGTAATCATCGAACTCGCTGAGGAAGAAGAAGACATACAAAAAAGCATAATCAGTGACGATGTGCAGCATGCAATGGAATATTACTTGAAGTACATGGAGAAGATCCCATGCCAAACTTCTATTCTGACCGGTCGTGCCTGGATTCAAGAATTGTTTGATTGGCACGTAGGCAGACGTGAACAAAATTTGCATATGCCACTGTATGTGTTTCAAGTGTTGTGTGACACATTGCGAAGCGACTTCGGTTTACGGGTACCAACAAGACCCCATGGATTACATATTGAAGAAAGTGTTGTGATGTTCATCCATACGTTGGACGGTTGTAGTAACCGAAAACTTCAGGAACGATTCCAACACTCGGGAGAAACTGTGTCACGACATTTCCATGCAGTGTTGGAAGCGATGAAGTTGTTCACAGAAGTGCATTGTAAGCCCACCCGAGATCAAAATAGTAGGCATCCATATTTGCGATCCAGAGGAAAATACGTGCCTTTCAAGGTTAGAATATTAGTTGTCGTTAGCGGTTAATTTTAATTTGATGTGATGTATTTAAACCTCATGTGATGTACATTATTGGTGCAACATTGTATTGGAGCGTTGGACGGTACTCATGTAGAAGCCGTGTTGCCTGCCCGTGATGTCGGCACATACTACGGTCGCAAAGGATATCCAACACAAAACATACTAGCAGTATGCGACTTTGACATGTGCTTCATTTTCATATCTTGTGGTTGAGAAGGAAGCATGCATGACAGTCGCATCTTCAATGAAATAACTGAGAACGCACATGCACCGTTCCCGCACCCCCAAGAAGGTAACACATTTGAAATTAAGTGACTGAGAAATTATTAATGTTGTTGAAAATATTAAAGTGATTGACCAAATGTAGGTAAATATTACCTTGTGGATGCGGGATATGCAAACAAGAAAGGGTATTTGGCACCATACAAAAAATCCCAGTATCACCAGGCACAGTTCTGGGATCATGGACGGCCCGATAACCCAAGAGAATTGTTCAACGAGGCGCACGCATCATTGAGGAGCGTGGTGGAAAGAACATTTGGAGCGTGGAAATCGCGCTGGAAGTTCCTGCACAACATGCCCGACTATGATTTTGCGACGGTGTAGGTACCATTGGTTGGTGAGTCAATGGCCTTATACAATTTCATCCGTAGGCACGAGATAGCTGCTAATGCACACAACGAACATGTCAGATGTTGCTCTGTTCCGGATGACATGCCCACCGCGGAAGGAGGAGAAAATATGGATGATGGCCTCATGATGGGGGATACGGATGTAGATATGGCCAGAGTTCGCGTGCGCATCCGTGACCATTTGTTTCATATACAGAAAGGACTATTGTGAAATGCTTGTTATCCAATGTATGTGTTTGTGTAATTTGTATTTCTGCATTGCAATGTGACTGTAACAAATTACTTATATTTGTAATTCGTGTACGAACAATGTAAGTGTGTTGCAAATTTAAATTTAGTTGAAGTACTATTAATTTGAAATTCACCATTTCCCCTTAGTAAATTGGCATTTTCACATAAAATTTTATTTTGTGGGGTAAATTACATTTACCTCCCCTGTGGTTTGAATAATTACAGTAACCTCCCCTACTTTACCTGACAATGTCAAGATTCCCCCAAAATTTGACCGCCGTTTATGCACCTAGCCGACCCTGCTGATGTCATCAACTGTAAACACAAAAATACCTAAAATGCCCTCAAGTGCCTATAATGCCTATAATGTAAATACTAAAGTGCCCAATGTAAACACTTAATTTTATTTTTTTATTTTAAATATATATTTTTTATTTAAATATTTTATTTTATTTTGTAAATATTTTAATTTTTTAATTTTAAGATTTTAAACTCAAAATACAATTTCAGACTCAAATCGTAACTAAACATATAACTCAAAACTCAATTCAAAAATTATTTTCAAACCTCATAACCAAACACATAACTCGAAACTCCACATTATTTTCAAAACTCTACACTCAAATCATAACAAAACACATAACAAAAAAATTAAAATATTTAAAAATATATTTATAAAATAAAATATTTAAAATAAAAAATAAAATTTTTAAAATTTGTTAATATTTAAAAATATATATTTAACATAAGTTTGTATTTTTTTTAAGTTTGTGTTTGGTTATGAGTTTTGAAAATAATTTTTGAATTGACCAACACAATCATAAAACTCAATTCAAAATTATTTTCAAACATCATAACAAAACACATAACTCGAACTCCACATTATTTTCAAAACTTTACACTCAAATCATAACAAAACACATAAATTTTTTTTAAAATATTTAAAAATATATTTACAAAATAAAATAAAATATTTAAAATAAAATAAAAAAATTTAAAATTAATATTTAAAAAATATATTTAACATAAGTTTGTATTTTTTTTAAGTTTGTGTTTGGTTATGAGTTTTGAAAATAATTTTTGAATTGACCAACACAATCATAAAACTCAATTCAAAATTATTTTCAAACATCATAACAAAACACATAACTCGAACTCCACATTATTTTCAAAACTCTACACTCAAATCATAACAAAACACATAATTTTTTTTAAAATATTTAAAAATATATTTACAAAATAAAATAAAATATTTAAAATAAAATAAAAAAATTTAAAATTAATATTTAAAAAATATATTTAACATAAGTTTGTATTTTTTTTAAGTTTGTGTTTGGTTATGAGTTTTGAAAATAATTTTTGAATTGACCAACACAATCATAAAACTCAATTCAAAATTATTTTCAAACATCATAACACGGAACATGTTTGTACTCAAAACTCAATTCAAAAATTATTTTCAAAAACTCATAACCAAACACAAATTTAAAACTCAATTCAAAACTTAAAATCAAACTTTTTCCAAAACTCTATTTTAAAAGAAAAAATTTAAAAACTATATTTTATTTTTTAAAATTATTTTTAGAGTCATGATTTGAGTGTGGAGTTGTATTTTGAGTTATGAGTTTTGAAAAGAAAAAATTTATTTTGTTATAAGTTTTGAAATTTTTCGAACTTATTTTTTTAGGGTAAATATTTTATATTTTAAATATTTTTTATTTATTTTAATGTGCATTATATTTCATACATTTATGTGTTGTATTTTTTAATATTTTAAATATATTTTTTAAATATTAAAATTTTTTAAAAAAATTATTTTTTATTTTAAATGTGTCATTTTTAATATAAATATTTTTAAATTATTTTATTTTATGGTTGTGTTGGTCAAAGCAAAGGGTTTTCTCGTCTTTTACTTTATGGCAGTGATGTTCATCTTGAAGAAAAGGGTTTTTCGTCTTTTTGCAGGCAAAAACAAGGGTAATATGGTCATTTTATATAAAATACTAACGTCGTTTGTATTGGGAAATCTTGACATTGTCAGGTAAAGTAGGGGAGGTTACTGTAATTATTCAAACCACAGGGGAGGTCTCTGTATTTGTCAGAAACCTCAGGGGAGGTAAATGTAATTTACCCTGTTTTGTGGGCAGTGTATATTTCGTACTACTAATTTTTGTAAAAGATAAATCTTATTAGAAAGTTCGTAGTATGTTTCTCATAAATGTTAAACACCAAACAAATTTTTTGTTCAGCAAAAAATTAATTCGAATAAAAACTTAGGACTTGATTGGTTTTGTTTTGAGAAAGAGTTACAAAATTTAGTTGGTTTGTTTAATTGTATATTTTCAAAGTAATTTTTGTGTACAGGAGTTCAGTAAATAAATTTAATTTCATTTGACTAGATGTGTATCACATAAAAAGTGATTATTTTTTTTTTTCGCAAATTCAATAAATCAAACCTTAAATTGTAATTAATTTTTAGATGTGAAAATGAAAATAAATGTTTCCAAACAAATGTTATATATTATTTGGAGAAATATATATAAATCTTAAAATAATTAAATGCAAATTTTAATTAATTTAAATATGACAAAGTAACAGCAAAAAGGAAAATTAATTGATTTATCGACATATTTATTGCAAACAATTGACCCCAATCAAAGAAGTGGGTCTGCGTGAATAAATTCTTCGGGATTTGTGTGTAACCGGTCACACCCATGGTGGCCACGTGGACATTCCTTCAATATTTGCAATTAAATATTATTAGGGTCAATTTGGTCAATTCACATTCCACAATCATTTTAAACATATTTTTTAATACAATAATTCTTAAAAAATCAATCTCATCTTCCCAAACACACAAACTAAAAATCCTACTAAAATAGTCAAACCACATAAAAAATCTCAAAAAAATTCACTTCCGAAACACCATCATTGACTGGTACGAATTAACGACATTGGTTATGTTTTATTATACCTCTTCTCTTACACTAGGATGAAATTATTGGTATAAATTAAATGGGTTGAGATTGATCTCTATTAGCAAGAAGATTGATCATGGAATTGTTCCTTTTGTAATTCCTACAGTGCTATATTAGTTACTCTTTGCATGAAATAGAAAAAGAGCCATTGTCTTGTTTCAGTACATGACTCAATGATACATAAAGCCTGGCTTCTACTAGCTTTTGAATTCTTTTTGCAATGTGCAAATCAGAAAACCCAACTTGAGAAGCATTTAACCTAAATTAGTTTATGTCTATAACATGGATACATTTTTGCTAGTCACCATTTTCAAAGTTACATCTTTCATTCTTTTCATACAACACTCTTTTTTAATGGAATGCGGATTAAGTAGATTAAGATAACTTAGTGAACCCTTTTTGCTAGTGTATTTTTAAAATGATTGACTGGGTATGTAGCTTGCTTGGTTTGTTAGCCCATATTTTGATGTTACCAGTTAAGGACTCTTTGGAAGGAAAGATTTGGCTTGCAACGCATTCTCTTCCCTTATGAGTTGCACTAGTTTACCTCCTTTAACCCCTTTCAATTTTATTGTTTATTATTTATTGTTTATTGTTTTGCTTATTGCTCTCACATATTCCTCTTTCTTGTTTGTTGCAGTACTTCTTCTATTTGCTACCTTCCTCCTTTCTCCTCTATATGATGAAATATGGTAAACCTTAGTACACAATCTGTGTGTGTGTGTGTGTGTGTGTGGCATAAAATCAAATGCATGGAGTAAGTATATGAATTAATGAAGTCCCTGCTCTTGTGACATGTTTGTTACTTGTATGTATGATTTATGCAACTGGGATCCTGCTGGGTTTAGGAATATATGTCATGGTAGATGCAATATTGGTCTTTGTTGTGAGAGAAGTTTTCTAGTCTTTGCTATAAAGCAAGTTGTAAATGGAATATTGTTGGAAAAACGGTGTAGCTGGCTAATGAAATTTTTTTAAAAAAATAAAATGTTCTATGAGGCTCCAGTTACCCTCATCAATTTTTGTTGTGTAGATCTACCAAATAAAATGCATTTTTATTTTCTAAAAATATCATGCTTTTTTTTTGTTTTTGTTACCATTAGTAAAAAAATCCCATGTATCTGAAAATTGATCTATTTGTTTTTGTGCAGTGCAGGTTAGAACAGAGCAGAAGAAAGTTGTTAAAGTCCAAGATGAAGCTCAGGAGTTGCTGTAATTGTAAAGATTGGTTTCACTCACAGTATTTGATGTTGTGTTTGGATATTATATTTGTCGAGAGATTGCTAGAATAATTTATTTATTTTTATTTTTCTGTTGATTTTGGTTTTGTAAAGTGAGAAGGATATGAATATAAATTTATCAAAAGAATTTATTTTAATGTTTAGTAATTTATATAAGTAATTTTATTTTCCTCTCTCTATATGTATCAAGGATGTTGTGTTTAAATTTTGAAATTTTTAATATTGTGTTTAGTTCATCAACTTGGTAAAGGATTTAGAAAGAAAAGGAAAAATGTTAGTGAAATATGAATGAAATATAATTATATTTTTACACATTTTTTCTTTTTTATTTTCAAATTTTTATTTAAGTCTATAAATCAAATATAGTTTATTTATTTATTTATTAATAAAAAGAAAATGATTTCCTTGAAGAAATTATAACATTCCAGGTATTAAAATAAAGGCGATGTATCATAAAATAAAGAGAACCATTAAAAAAAACAAATGAATAATAAACTCAAATATATGTTTAAAAAAAATACATATAAAATTTGGCAGGATGTTTTTTAGGGTTCTTGATATTACGATTTTATAACATAAAGTGTTAATCATATTATTTAATTTTGATGATGTCTAAAATATTATTTGTAACAATTTAAATTTTTGTAATATACATATTATTTGACATAAAATATTATCTTTTTAAAATATACATATTTGTTAAATATTATAATAAAAATATTTTTGAAAATTTTACTATTCATTTTTTGAAAATTTAGGCTGATTACTATTCACTTTTTGACAAAATTAAAATTGATTAATTATATTATTTTGACAAAAATGATTGATTGGTTGTATTATCTTGACAAATATGATATTAATAAGTTATCTTCTTTTAACAAAAGTGATATATCTGTGGGGACATA